CCCCCCCCCCCCCCCGCCCCCAGGCACAGCCCAGACCCCACTGATGTGCACCAACCCTCTGGGCTCTCCTGGCCTCTGGCGCTGTGGGCTGGGGCTCGGTGCTCAGATCAGCCTCAGGACTAGCACCCCCACCCCTCCTTCACCCCTTTCTAGGGGGACCCTAAGGCTGGGATCTGAGGATTGCACACTCCAGGCCCCAGGCTAATTCCCCTCTGCTCTGTGTTGGGGTACTTGGGGCTGCGCAGGGGCCCCTTCTCTGCCTTCCGCCCAAATTGCCTTGACAGTCACTGGGCTCCGTGTGACTTTTGACCCTGACCCCACTCCCATAGCCCCTCCCTGGGCTGGAGTCTGGGGCTGGGACCTCCTTCGGCCTGTTTTGGCTGAGGACAGGGGAAGGGTAAAGATGGTTCTAGAGTGGCTTGTGTTGCCACTCCCAACACCCCACGTTTGCTCCTCCTAGGAAACTGCCATCATCACAATAAAGACCACATGATTTTTAGACTCGGCCCGGGTATGCATGCCTCTGTGGCTCCTGCTTTATGTCCCGGGGGCAGAGTCTGGGCTTTGGGAACCTCAAAATGCTTTCCTTCATCTGAAGCCCTGCTGTCACTGCCCATTTCTTTGAGTGGAAGGTCTGAGTCCAGGTACCCTGGGAAGAGCCACATCAAGGTCAATCCTATGGCACTATTCCTGGTCGGTCGTGAAGGAATTTCAGTTCTCTTCTGAGGGTTTATTTGGACATGGAGGAGGAGAGCCAGGATGCGCTCAGGGGACAGCCCTCTGAGAAAGCAGAGGCCAAAATGGGATTCGATGTGTGAGGGTAAAGAGGGGGGAAGCAGGAGTGGGAACCAAAGGTAGGACACTTGTGAGGGGGAGGGGAGGGGGCTGCAGGAGGAAGAGGACTGTGTTTCTCCAAACATGCCCCCCTCCTCTAAAACCCTCCCAGGGCAGCAAGGGCTGGAAACCGGAGGTCGTGTGTCAGTAACATGCAGCTTAGGGCGCCTGGGTGGCTCAGTAGGTTAAGCATCTGACTTTGGCTCAGGTCATGATCTCATGGGTTGTGAGTTTGGGCCCCACCTTGGGTGAGCACGAGCCCCGCTTCTCTCTGCCCCTCGTGGGATTCTCTCTCTCTCCTCACTCACTTGTGCACGCGCTCTCTCTTAAATAAACATGTGCAGTTTATGACTGTCTACGTTAGGGTGCACAAGCCACCCACACGGAGTCCGCAGGTAACTTGGCATCTGAGCTCCCACTCTGGGGACGTGAAAACCCCAGGGCTGCTTTGGGGAAGGCACAGTTTCAGTACACTCACACAAAGGAAGTCAAAAGATTTGTTACTTACAGATCCTAGAACAGGGGTGCAGTGAGCAGGGGGAGGGCAGTTCTCTATCCCAGATCAGGAGAGAGCAGAAGAGAGACTGCAGGGTGCCATACGGCCATTACTTATAACGTGCCTGGGGCAGGGGTCACTAATTTTTTGTAGGCTCAATTCTGAACGGCCAGTTTAAAAGGTACCTAGGGAAACACGAGGCAGGCGTTTGTGGTGGACACCCTAAGCTTGGGTTCTTAGCTAAGTGTCTGGACTCAGTGTGAGCAGGCTTGTCTTGCTGTAAATGCCTAGACAGCACCTCAGAATGGCTGTTTTCTCACCACACACCTGCAAGGGTCCCACAGTGGCAGAGGCAGGGAGCGAGGCTGGGCCAAGGGGCTGTGGCTTGCTTGATAATGGGCCTCCCTCTCAGCCTAGTGACCCCTAGCCCCACAGTAGCTGCACTGCTCTGACCACAGACTCACCCCTCCTTGCTGTGCGCCAGCCTGACCACATCAGAATCCACTCTGGTATTGTCTCTAGCCTCCAGCTACCAGTGTCCTATGACTTGGGCAGTCTGGTGAGAAAGAAAGGCTTGGGGGGGCCAAAGCGCGGATGGGGCATCAGACCCCCTGCATGTACGTGACCAGCAGTCATTTATATCCGGCCCACGAGATGCTGGGCCACTAGTGAGCTCTCGGGTGGGGACTATCTTCCTCCTTCCCTAGACACCCAGCAGAGAGCCATGGCAGACCCTTCATCCAAGGCCATACTGCCCAGTATCCTCAGATTACCTCTGGGGAAACGGAGCCCCAAGGGGAGAAAGCACAGGCTTTGTTAAGTGGAGGTCAACCTCACAGATCCCTGCCTGCTCTCCCTGTCAGAGCGCAGGAGAATGGAGGTCAGCACCCTTGGCCCAGGCTGACCCAGGGGTGGTCCCCAGCCTGGGCTCAGGGACTTACCTTCTTCAGTCTGGCCCCGCCAGTCAGTGGTGGACCGATGGGCTTTCTCCTGTGCTGGTCCACCCTCCAAGGACAGCCATGACTAGGCAGATGGCAGAACCCAAGCTCCAGCCAGCTTCAGGGGAAGTGCTGGGGACACACCAGGAGGGGCATCCCCCTCAACATCACTCTTGGGTCCTGTCCTGGGGACTATCCTGTTCCTCACTCTGGCCAATGTGGGACTCCCTCTAGTGGCCTCAAGTTGTCCTCCTGGGAGGGACGCGGGGGG